TTTATCCTGCACTACAACGAGCCAAATGCAACGAAATTTCGTTCTTATCTGCACTGTAAAGTACAAGTTTGGAATGACAATCAAGAAAGTCTAAGTCTAAGTCTAAGACGATATCCGTAATTATCACAAATCAATATTTCTTTGAATTGAAAGGCAGATTTTTTGTTTCTAAATGCAAGTTGAAGAAATTGTTAATTGAGGTTTAACCATTCTTTATTGTCAGAACATGATTAACTATACTCGAACAGAGTAACATTTCAGTATCACGCGCACAGTACACGATGCTGGAAAACGCTGGTATGGCAGTTTGCTGCTGGGCAGTAACACTTACTGCCCCGGTGCTTGCTGAGGGACCACTAACACTCGTTTGGGATGTTTGGTCATTTCCTGTTTTTGTTGTCTTCTGACGGCTGATATCGTTTCAAATGGTGGAAAAAGGTTTGTGGTGTTGCCTGTTTTAGCCTCACACGTCTTCTGATGTAATTATCATGATGTAATCTATCATACCTTTTTTTTATTATATTGAGAACAATTATTTTGCGAGAATTTATTTTATATTTTGATCATTATCATCTTATCGCCCAGGCCTATCTGAAATTCCACTTAAAGGAGGCTTGATATTGTATTCCATTAATATCATGAGAAATTGTTTAATTGCAGCAGTGATCCTGTTTGGGATTGATAGTCGATTTTGGAAACATTATTCTGGTGCACCAGCCAAGTAATAAATGAATGAATGTGACCTTCTACTTTCAGCTTTTAAATTTAAGGGAAGCACAGAAAATATCCATATTGTTACTGAGCATTTACCACAAATTACTTTAAAAGCATTTTGCCATTCAGGGTTTCTCACAGTTGGTTGGTCTCAGTCATTAACATCTTGGATCTGATCCACAGCCATTTTCTCCAAACAATACACAAAGCCTTCAATTCTCTGTGTCCCACACAAGCCCCTAAAAACCCACTCGTCAGAAACTTTGGTGAAGCACTACACTGGTCTGTGCTTGTATGGTTCACTACAACAAATCATTGTACGGCTTGTTAAACAGTTATTGCAAATTGTGCTCCCCATAAAATTCTACTAAAAGGCTGTATAGGTGCTATTTACCTTCTTGGTTGTAAACAGAGCTGAGGCTTTTTAAAACCAGAAAGAGCATTCATAGAGGCAAGCCCAGTGTTTAGGCTTCTTTGGACTGTTGCTTTTCTTTTTAAAATTTTGAGGATGAGGTACAGACTCACGGTCCTGATCAGATGGTTTCATGTTTGAATGAATAGAGCTTGGTAATGATCATCGACTTTCCTTGCTAATTTGTCCAATTGTGTACCAGTGATAGCCAATATGCAAACAGTGCACACATTTTCAGATATTCATCGTTCACTGTAAACGGCTACAACCAGTGTTTGATTTTTCAATCGATAGTTACCACTTAGAGTTTACTTAACAAATAGATCAATTTTCCAACTCCATCCAGTGTAACCTTAAAGTCAATGTAATGCATTTCCTTTCAGCTGTGACTCAGTCTATAAACCTGCTCTTTATTGAACGATCTTAGCCAGGACAGTCCCTTCCCATGAGACCCATCCTAAGAATTAGGTCTATAATTAAACATAATTTGCTAAGTTATTCTTTTTTCGAAGCCTTTTACATAACTGGTTTTGCTTTGTTTTTCTGGATTGAAAGGAAACGAAAAGCATTATTTGACTGGATAAATTCTGGTGATGGATAAAAGTAGGGCTTGGGGGATACATTTTTTTTTTCCAATTAAGATTGTTGCAGCCAATCGTAGTGAACATAAGATAATCAAGATAAAAGCCCAAACACTCCAAAAGCCCAAACACATTCACATAGATTCAGGCAGATGGCAGACAGATGACACATTTTGGATGGCACAGAATAAGCAAACAAACAGCATGACAGCAAAATAATTTGCTTCGTGAAGGACCTACGTATGTAACACAAAATTGTCAGACAGTCACAAAGCAAAGCAAAAAGTTCAACAACTATAACTTTGGACAGCTGTCTAAATCAGTGGCGTTGTTTCTCTACCAACCTCCTTGCTCTCGTCCAAAAAAAAAAAAGATATCCCTGTCTATGATCTGCGTGAAGTGATTTAATTGCATCATCGGTCTCAGCAAGCCTGTGGCATGGTTTGTTCAGCTTCAGCCAAGATAACAGGACAAACTTGTTTACCATGTTTTCTGCCAGAGATGAGCACTTCTATGTACCACTGTTGATTCTAGGTTTGAAATGCAAAATGATTAATGACCCTCAAGTCTAAACAAGACCCTTATTGACCCATCTATCCACCCTGACCTCCTGTGTCTGTGGCCTTCTTCCCCTCTTTAGCTCCTTTCACAAATGCACTGCATTCCTGAAAATGTCCTGAACTCATCTTGATGTGCTGCTTGTGAGAATGTAAATGGCCAAAGTTTCATCATAACTTTATTAAGACTTTTCTTCTGCCACTCTCCTATTAAAATGTTGGAAGAAAGTTTGGTGAGCCAATGTGTGAATGCAGAATGAAAAATTAACACCAGCTAGTAGGCAGGGTGCATGTGGAAATCATTCACGTTTAGCGAAGTTTTGCAGTTTTATACGCTTTCCCGTTCCCTTTGATGATGGAATTTTTCACTGTTGTGTTTTGTAATATTAACCCAGAAACGGTCTCAGTTCCTAAGACTCCTTCCCCTTCTGCAAGCACTCACCAGCCGCCTTCCCTCACTTAAACCACAGGAAGTATTTTGAGGTGTAAGAGCGAGTCTGTCAGATAACCTCCAGTTGTGAGGTAGTGTGAAAGGCAAGTTCCTGAAAACGCAGGGGCTGAATGTTGTGGAATTATCGCAAAATGTCAGAAGTGCACGTGTAAATTGGCAAAAACTGATTCCCTCCTTTTCCTCTATAATAGAGTCAAACTGCATCTACAGCACACTCTCTCAGCACAAAGGCTTCTCATTTAAATGCAAACACGTCAATTTATGGCACCAAAACAGCTGATACTTTTCTTTAGAGGAAAGCTATGGAGCTATTATTGTGGCAAAACTATTTGAATATGCGTACACAGATCCACAAATGTGTAAAAAGATCCACAAATGTGTATACTAATCTGCAAATATGTAGACCAATTTTCAAAATCTTTACTTATTTATTAATGGCAGTGAACTTTTTCAGCTGTAAATCCTGAAAATACACCCAAATGATCGCTTACAACGGAGGCGGGCCTCTCCATTGGCTGTCATTTTACACGTGACTTTTGCAACACTCCTGAAGTGCAAGATCCACAAATGCGTACATATATCTTGAAATGTGTGTCTGACGATCTGCAAACACATTTTTGGTTTGTTGCCCTGAGCCCAGCCATTAATAAATAAGTCAATATTTTGAAATTGGTCTACATATTTGCAGATTAGTATACACATTTGTGGATCTTTTTACGCATTTGTGGATCTGTGTGTGCATTTTTGGATCTTTTTACACATTTGTGAATCTGTGTGTGCATTTGTGGATCTGTGTACGCATATTCAAATAGTTTTGCCACAATAACAGCTCTATAGAAAGTCCCTCAGGAATAGATAATTGAGTCAGTCACAATTAACATGATGTTGAGATCATTTGGTGTTTGTGTTGATCTTACAAGCAGTTTAAGCATGCGACATCATCTGCCTAATAGATGCAATAAGCTTGCACACCTGCTATTCATCAGGTGCAGTTTCTGACACATGCTTCCTAGAAGGGGAAGCTTAAAGGTCACTTATTATGCAAAATACACTTTATCATGGTTTTCAAACACTAATATGTGGCCTTAGCTTGTCTACAAAACCCCCAATTACAAGAAAAGTCCACCCTCTCTTTCTTTTGCCTGCTCCACTTTTCAGAAAAATGTTTGCTCAGTCTGTCTTCAGATTTTCCCTTAATGACATCACAAAGGTCAGTATCCCCTCCCCCAGTTGGTGACACCCCCACAGCTAGGTGTTTGTTTTATTCTGCACTTTGAGTCTGCCCTCTCACTGTAATCAATAGGGCATGGTGCAAGCAAGTTGAGCCTCCTAAGCCCTTCCACAGAGAGCGTGGTCAAACACAGTTTACCTGAATTTAAAGATATAGACTCAGAAACAGCCTGTTCTGAGCTGGGCTGAAATAGAGGGGTTTATACAGGCGTGATAAAACACAGGATAGGAGTGGATTTTTAACACAAACTTTACAGAGACTTATTTTAACTGGTAGAAAAGGAGGACAATTTTTTATTTTTATTTCAAACACTAAATAACTTTGAGAAATTCCTTAAAGTTGTAATGTCAAGATTTGAATAGTTGATACTAAGATGGCATTTACAGTCATTTCAATATTTGAGTACTCATTACCTTACGAAAGAGTATGCAATTACTTGCAAATTAGATTATTTTGTTTGTTAAGTAAGCAGGATAAGGACCTCTCGATCGTCTGCTTTGTTTCTGCCTTGGGCCCTCATCAGTACTATATGTCTGTATCACAGCGGTTTTAAAATCCCAGTTCTGAATGAAATGACAAGTGATGGTAAAGGGCTGTGGAGAGAGCTGTCCTCGAGTCTGTAGTAACATAGCACGTTGTTGACACGTTACAAACATCCCTCAATTCTGCTGCTCTTTCCTCATCTTTTCATCTGAGGCCCCTGTCTCCTAATGGTTTTATACTGGCATTGAAGGATAAACAAAGAGTAGAGCAACATAATAAATTACCCTGAATCTCAATGTTACTTACATGTATCAATGTTCTCTGCTCTTAAAGCTTTAAAAATTGTGTAAATGCTGTTTTGACTGATTTGGTGTCTATTTTGGTAAAGATAGAGAAAGAGACACCACAAAAAGTCTGTAAATCCATAAGGGATGGTCTAATTTCCAAAAGAAAAACCTGTTGAGGGAGTCATGAATGATTTTTCACAGCCTACTTTTTTTTTGTGTTTTTGTGTGCGTCAAGGCCGTGACAACTTCAGCATGTGTAAATGTCCAGTTACTGGTTTACTGACCTGTCCAAAGAGTTTATTGAGGTAGGAGATGTAGGCAGCGGCCACCGCTGAGCTGTGGCTGCTCCTCTTGCTGTTCCGGCGAGCCTCGACTTCTTCAGAGCCCTTCCCCTGGGCCGTGGGGGACTTTGACTTAGAGCTGTGAAGTGTGCATTTACGTGCAAATCATTGAGAGCTATTGTCAACCAAGCCTTTTACTTAACTGCTACCCCTCACAAAGTACTCAACAAAAGGAACACTCAATGCTGCCTTCCTACAAATAATTGCTAGGCTTGAGTGAAATTATTGAAAAACGTCAGCGGTGCTTTCAGTGGACCTCCAGATTTACATCAGTCATCAGAATAAAAAAAAAAGAAAGACGGTCTGGAAGAGTTTCTTACAGGACTATTTAGAAATTCTACGGGGCTTTTGTTTTGTACCAGATGAACCAATCAGTGACACTAATTGGGTGAACAAATGTACACAACCATCTCCCCCTTGTCCTAATCAATGTTGATGAGAAACAGGGAATAATAATAACCAGAATTTCTTGGAGAGGCTGAGCTGAAGGGCCTTGTTTTTGAATCTCCCAGAAGCTGGTGACCTGCCAGCTACCGCACCCCTCCCGCCTCGTGGAGATGAGCTGGAGATGGAAAAAAAGGTTTGATCAATTTAAAATGCACTTGATGCCTTTTGATTGATTTTCATATTCTTCCAATAAACAGCCACAAAACTCAACAATGGTAAACTTTTTTTGGCTTTACCCATTAAGTTAATCTCTCCTGTTGAGGAAGTTACATGGATTCAGACTGCTGATGGACAGCAGCAGCAATGGAAGAAAATGGTTTGAATTTCTGAAAGTTTTATGGGCTGTAAAGACTAACTTCGGAAAAATGTAAATATATTTCAGCTGACTAGAAACTCTTTCTCTTCAGCTGGCTACACACTAGATGATTTTTGAATCTTAACCGTTTTTAAGGTATATAAGGAATATATATGTAGGGACAGTTTTAACCGATTTTTAATATTATAATCCTCCGAAGGCACACAGTGGACAACTCGGCCAGAGTGAGACACCACACACCTGCAGTTTTTTGGTTAGATTTCACAGACACAAGATCTCACAGAAACTCGTTTGATCAAACAGGACTTCAGAAGAAAAACAAATAGGGAGGACGATCGATGTCTTGCTGTGTGTTCTGTTTCGCAGTGAAAAACAAGAAAAAACAAGAGAAAAGCAACATGGCAAAAATCCTGGCTGAGAAGACGGATTATTTTGCGTTTTTGTACAATTTGCAGGGCGAGCTGAGGGTGAGTTGTCAGAGTACGCAGCATCCGGTTTGTGACGCTTTCAAGTGTGTTCGCTCTCATTGGCTGCTGCGGGTATTCCGTTGGAGGCGGTCCGACTGGGAATCGATATATTTGATATTTTGTAATGTAGATCAGACAGGCTCCGATTCTACGGCTAGCAGTAAAATATTTGTAGTGACACTACACACTGGAGGATTATTTGGAGAAATAAGTTGTGACAAGCTGCAAATCGGACCATGCACCCCCCCCCCCCCCCCCCCCCATCATTGAAGGGGCAAATCGGGCCTAAAATTGTCTACTGTCTAGCCAGCTTTAAAAAAGGTTCTCACTTAATAATGCATAAGACTGAATTTGAGGATGTCATTTTGCCGCTGTTTGAGCCCCACCATAGTGATTCAGACTGGCTCATGTACAGTTTCAAAGCTCATAACCTCACCTCTTGATTGAATGTTTAATTAAATTCGTAATTTGACTATATAAGTGTATTCATTCCCAATTAATTTTCTTCAACACTTTAGTTGGATCTCACTGACCTGGTAGCAGAGGACGGTCTACTTTCTGCTCCTCCTTTATTGCTTTTCATAGACATCCTGGCTGGAAGAAAGAGATAAATGTGGACAGGGACTTGAACTTTGGGGAAAAGACAGAAAATCTCCTAATGGAAAAGTAAAAATGGATACACATTTACAGTGCATACACATTTATGACCATAATCCCTGATGTTAAAATTAAAACAGCCACATTAATAATTTAAAACATATAGAGCGATTGTAGTGTTAGCAAACACTTTCTTATTCTGACCTCGAATCCATCAGACAAGGAGCATATGTAGCTCATAAGCAGTTTGCATTCTTACTTGTTTTGGGCAATTTGATGAATTTGAGCATTCACTCTCCACTTAGCTTAGTATTGCTAACATCTGGCTTTTGAGTTTGTGTAATCCATCCTTATGTTCACAAGCAAGATGCAAATGTAGAAAAAAGGGACTTTCTGGAACTATTTTTGCTAAAAGGATAAATGCATTTCAGTCAGACCACTCACATTTGCATTGTTTGAAACGTGTATTGCAGAAGCAGAATGTATTTTCTGTGTTTTGGCGTTTAGGCTCAGAGCTCATCACTCCTCACAGATTTATCTTTCATGCAAAATTGAGGAGTGATGACATTAAATCTTACACCCCCTCAGAGCCTGCAGGTCGATGCTGGGGTTGGGGGATTTAAGTACTGTACTTATACAAAACAGCAAAGCAATGACGGAGCAGAGTGACGGACCGTAAATCTTGAAGCCTATAGACACCCTGTGTGATTGGAGATTGTGCAGAAAGATGCATGTCAGTGTGAAATCAGTGCAGCTCGAGTTGTCTGCCTGAACTAGCTCGTGCAGGTGTCGCCTTATTTGTAGGCACTCAAACAAAACAAAAAGCTGAAAGACACTAAACGCTTTTCAGAGATTTTTCTTAGAATTGGCTTCAAACAAAATGATGAATAAGGGATCAATAAAAAACGGTGTAGATCTGTTTAAAGCAGCTTTGAACATATATTTCTTTTCCTGATTTGTTGTAAAAGGAAAAAAAAAGACCTTGACACAGGATGGTGTTCATACAGTGACTACTTCATCATGAGGAAGGTGGAGTGTTAAACCCCGTGAATCCAGTTTAGAGACACATTAGTTTATACAAGAAAATACCCACACAATCACTCACTTTAAAATGACACGAAAAGAGTAATATAAGAAACGTTTTTAAATGTATCAAATGTGAGGAATGATGTGAAATTGCTTTCCGTCATTAACCGGAATGTGACATAGAGAGAGATGGATAGGAGATAGATGGAGATGGATGAAGAAAGAGGGAGTGAATGACACATGTTTCTGGACCTGCAGAGGAGGAGGAGGAGGAGGAGGAGGAGAGTTATGGCTGACTGTGTGAGAGGCACATTCATGTTCTGTCATGGCCCTCTGTGGTTCTGCTTATCAGATCCCGAGTGATGAACGGCTGTGTTTGGCACTAATGCATAATAAACATATCGCCTCACTCCACCATCCAACATTCAACGAAGGCGGCACAAAGGCAGATACCGACGATCGGCACAGGCAGAGGCTATGCTTTGGGCCGTCTAGACCACGAGGGCCGTAATGAGAAGAGACACGAAGACCAGGCAGTCCTCTAAATTACACTCGACCGTTTAATGTGCCTCCGCCCAACACATGCCGCATTCCCAACCCCCACTGGGCTGAACAATACGTGCCATGACTGAGTAGTAATTGCCTGTCTGTCATGATTTCATGCAATCACTGTGCATGTGATATGTGCTGATTGCAACACGCCTAACGCATGTTAAGCTTTGCCGCTAGAAAGATTGGGAAGTCCTCACATGATTACATCCATGGAATTCCTTAAGAAGAAAGTATTAGACGTCTATCTATGCTGATGTGCAACTCTCACAAAACACTAGTGGTTAATATGTTTTGATATAGATGTACAGAACATACAGCAGAAACCGCAGTTTCCAAGCGCTAATGTGGAAGTATCAGCTGCAGTGACCACTTGAAGCTTGCTCTAAAAGAAATAGTCCCCATAAGGCCCTATCTTGAAATGTCCAACTTTACAGCAGAATTTAAAATACTAAAAGCCTGGTGCAAAAAGGGGTTTTGTCTTTTATAGTTATTTTCTCTATTTATGACAACTGTACAGGGACTAAATTATATACAACTCAATCGTTTACGTGATATGAGTTTTGTAATCCTTTATTATGGAGCACTTTGTGACATCTGCTCTTGAAAGGTGCTATATAAATAAACTGTACTTGCGTACTAAAGTATGGATTAACAGCCTTAGGTCACTTGAGTGACCGGTGGATGGTGCTAGCAGTCTGCTAGGAGTTGCATGGCTCTAGATGCTCTGCGTTCCTTTAGGTGATTTATTTTTTCCATGTAGTTTCAAAAAATGACTTTTTGTGCGGTTTCACATTTGTTATGCTTTGTTTGCTGTGCCTAGCTTCACAAGTGTTTGTCATGAGATATTAGTTGTGGCCAATCCATGTATGTTAGGACTGTATTTAGCTTTCCCTGAAAAGATGGAGGGCTGTTGTGAACATGTTACACTCGCACTTGTTGTTCACTGGCTGCTCTTGTTGGAGGCTTCAAAAGGGAGCAGAGACTTCACTGAGTTGCACAAGATTCTGTAGCTTTTTCTGTCTAATGAATAATCAACTCCTGTCAGCTTCCACTGCAAATACAATCTCATTCTGTGTGAAATGTGATGAAAAACAAGCTGGATTAGTATTAGCTGTAGAGTGTTAAGCTTTGATAAGTTGACATTTTACAACCCCTGGCTCCTCTCCAGCACCACCCTCTCCTCCCAGTTTGGTCACTTCTGGCTCCAGAAAAGCATCATGGAGATGGCTGGTTTTCCAAACGTGTCCATTATCTTTTTACGATAAGTTCGTAATGTTTACAAAATATTGCTAATATGCAAGCATAAACACACAAAACCACACACACACACACACACACACACACACATCTGTTTGCCAAACACTCACAGCAGCCATGTGGGTAAAGCGAGATATCTGGACTTTCTATAGTGTTTCGGTCTCGCATTGTTTGCCTGAAGAATTGCTCTCATCTTCAGTGAGCACAACTCCCATCAGGGTAAACAAACACACGCCTCCACCCCACACCACCACCATCCCCTCACACACACACAAACACACACACACAGACCGTTCACATGGGCCTTTTACTGCACAAGCCATTGAGCAGCACTGTGCGTGTCTGCAGCTCTCCTCCCTAAGTGGCCAATTGCTGTCAATCACGGTGCAGACACAAGCAATTTTAGATCGTAATCAGGCTAATTGAAGTAATGAAAAGGAGGGCCAGGTAGACCGGGGCTAAAACAAACACGACTAGCACAGCTGGTGATGAAGAGGGGGGGGCTGCACATGAGAGCTGCAGGAGTGAAGCGGGCCTGGCTGGAGTGTAAAGGGTTAAACACTAAATGGATATTCTAAATATATTTCACAAGAGCCTCTGGAGTGAAGGGGCGTGGAGATTCATCGTACATGTCACATAAACAAGAGCCACATATACACACAGGGAAACACAAAGCAGACAGAAAAAGAAAGCACTCAAGGAGCCCATTTACTCCGCCGAGGCTGCACCATCCTTTTCTGCATCTGGATGTTAATCTTAAACCACAGAATTCATGCTGATTGGCTTAAAGTAGGCAGGACTGGCTGATGATACTTAAATCATATTTGGGACTATTGGGAATACTAGGGCTTTGTTAAAAGACTAACTTTAAAATTTCAAGGGAGGAATTTATGATGAGTAATTTCTGTTACTATTATAACTTGTTTTTCCCTGCAGAAAGTATCTCAGTCCCTTCAGGATTTCATGGGCTTTTTTTGTGAAGTCTTTTGCTGCTTTTGTTACCTTTTTTAAGAAAAAGTTGCAAACCGGGTAAATTTCTATTTCAAGATGTGAAATAAAATGTATAATAATTGAATGGTACCAAACTAAACGTATTTGATGAAGTACATGTCTATGCCGATGGGAGGAGAATGATGATCGGTCAAATAAATGTTTCCTAGTGAGAGCCTTATAATCTGAATGACCGTTACCAAGTGCCTTTCAGACTCTAGCGCCTCTGTTTTTAAAGACTCTTTCTACTTAAGGATTGGAAAGGTTGGAACCTTTGCTGCTGCCAACGTGTGACAGACAAGAGCCATGATCAACATTACCAGTAAACGTACTTAGCTTAAAGTTGAGCAGAAAATGTTAAGGAGCTATGCTTTTTTTTTTTCTCATAAGAGAAATGCCCATGATATGGCAACGAGTGGGAAGTTGGACATTTTTTTTGAGAATTCTAAAAAAAAACTTAATCCAAATCTGCTGTAAAAACTTGAAGGAAACAAATGCCAAACTATCTGTGTGAAAAAAAAAAAAAAGAGTCTCACTGATCAACTGATCTTGTCGATGTAAGAAATGTACACGGGCTATGTTGAGTCTTTAGAAATGGCCTTTAATTTTAAGAGATTAATTCAATGATTACATCACACCATCAGACCATACATGGTCAGTAATGGAAAAAAAAATTCCCTTGAAGGGAATGTACCTGACTTTTTGGAGCTCCCTCTGGAGCCACCACTCAGCTTTATACATTCTTCAACTGTTAAGTAGTGATAGCTGACAGACACATGTAAAACACTTAGGTAAGGTAACATCTCCTATATGTTATTGTTTTTGAAAAGAAATGCTTATAGCAAAAATCAGATTACCTAAATTAGCATATTGACTGTATGTACGCCAATTGTCATTCAAATGTAATGAATGTTTGTGGTCCAATTAACTGTAAACAGGCAGCCAAAAGAAAACAATATTGAACTCTGTTATTAATGTATAAAAAAAAAAAAACCTCACTACAAAAACAGGGAGCGCTCCACTGAGCTTGGCTGTGAGCTCAGGTGAGGCTTCCCCTGTCTTTGTACTCCCCCTCTATTTTCTCTGTGTTTCAGGTTTTATCTTTTCCATTCGCCTGCTGTCCAGTCAGAAAACAATCAATTCCAGTGGGGCCAAACTGGCCTGTGT